TTTGACGTTATCCACCGTGGTAGTGCATAACATGCGTAACTGCCGAGGTGGATGACGTCATAAGTCGAGTTTTCCAAGGCGCGATGTCTCGGTTAATATTCAACGTAGAAAGTTGCTGTTTGCGTAGATCTTATTATTTTTAGCTAATCTACATGAATCACTCGTCAAAACACGATTCCATCACCAGCGCAACAGACCCATTTTACAAAAAAGTGACAAATAGTCCCCACGTGAAGTTCAATTTTTTTTTTTTACAGAGAGCTGTTTAGAAGTAGCGCTGACAAGTGAGCCAACGGTCAAGGAACCGGAAAAGAGCGCAGCCGAAAGAGGAACAAACGAGGAGAGTTTTAAACGAATTTCGCCCCGGATGAGCCAATTTTGGCGGTAAGAAGTTTTGAAACCGGAGAGGGATTAGCCCTCGTCGAGCGCCGAGCGCCCGAGTGGATTGTAGCCCATGCGTCTCCCTCTCCGAAGATATCCTCACTATAATGATGACTCCTAACCTCACGTTTTTTTTCCCTCCCTCCTCCACCCCCCACCGCTGCGCACTCCTATAACCACGCACGTGTTTCCAACTCCAATCACATTTGAACCGAGGTTGCCGACCGCTACACAGAATCTTGTTGGTCGTTTCTGAAACGCTTAAAAAAAGAAAAAAAGAAAAAAAAAACTTTTTCTACGGTCGGAATTGCGAACCGAGAAAAATTTTGAATGCTAAAAAAAGTCGTGAAATTCATTTGTAGTCTTGTGAGGGAACTAGATTTTGAGCATCAATCAACCTTAAGAATTTTCGTCCTGGAATTTCAGAACGTGCACTGAAAAAATAGTATCACAATCCCAGCTATACTCCTGGCTGATTTTGACGCCGGATATAAGAGTATAGTTGTAGGTATATTTGATCCGATCAAACTTTCGGTAGACTCAACCATACCTTTGCCTAGAGCGACTACTCTTATATCTGGCGCCAAAATCAGCGAGGGGTATTTTTGGGATTGTGATAATTTTTTTTCCCCGTGATATCTCCTTCAATTGAGGAGCTTTCAGAGTCACAGTTGTGCCGAAATGTCCAGGTTTTTTTCACTCCATGCAAAAGTGACAGTGACTGAAATTTGGATTTTCGCGAGATAAGGCCCCCCTCCACAGATCCAGCCATATTTATTCAATTTCCTTCATACCATATCGACCGTGTATCGAGGTGAAGATATTTAAAGGGACGCGCACATCGAGTGGAGGAGCATGGAGGAGTGGGCGTCGCAATTGCCCGCATGCTCAACCTCCGAAGACCCCCCTCCCCTCCCACTTTCGAGCCCCTGCATTCCAATTTTCGGGCCCTTTTCTCCGTAAGCGCGGAAGTGACGCACTCCCTTCTCTATTGTCTCGCGTTCGTTTCTGTGTCCCTCAAGTGTGCAACTCGCTTATTATGTACAGCATACGTTCCCGGAGGGATTTCGACGAGCGATCCCTTTAAACAATTTTTATTAACCTCATTTACCACGGCACAGCTTACCGATCGGATACTGAGACGCACCCCTCCCCGACTTCACGGAGACAAATCGCCCGTAGTCAGGCCATTTCGACGTTTCCGTGCAGTATTGCTTTCCGATAAGTAAGTGCAAATTTACTGCCGCATTGAAGAGGTGGAAACAGTAGCGAAGCGCCAATGATCGATTATCGATATTTCCCCATTTGAAGCTGTGGTAAAGAATCGATTATTTCAAACACCCTGTTTATCGATCCTTTACCATAGGTTTGAGTGGCAGATCAATCGATATATCGCAAAGCACGCAACGCAACCGTGTGGAAGGACGCACAGAGTGTGCTCTTCGTCGTTTGACGCAGCGAGTAAGTTTGGAGTAAGCATTCATCTTCATCTTCAAACAGAAAAAAAAAAAGGTTCGGCTAAAAAGATAAAAAACCCAGCACGTATTTACCTGAATGTATTCATATTCAACCCCATGATGGCACTCCCTTTAGAGAATATTTAACCTCAGGATTTGCAGCGAGTCTTGGAATGTTTAGACTCACGGGATTCATTCATTCGCGCGCAATTTTGACTTCAAATTTTACACTGATTCCAAAGCCGTTTGCAATAATATTCATCCCGTGCGAAAGTTGCAGATTGCACACGAAATCATATACAGGGTGTGCGTAACGTTCCCTCCCCCCCTAACTTTTCACCTAATTAAACTAAAGATTTGAATCTTGGGGGGTATATACAGCTGGGTCACTTGAGATGTCATCAAGAAAAAAGGTGTGCATGTTTAATTTCACAAGATGAACTTCGCACTACACAAAACACAAAAGCTTCCAAATGAAAGTACCAAAGTTGCAGTGAGAGGTGAATATGTATAATTATATCATTTGGAATTGCGAATCATTCATTGATTTCGAAGCGATAACAAAGCTTTTGTTTCAGTTTCATCTCGCAGGAAGCACTACTCAAAGTCTTCATGACTTGATAGTCGGTGGGCTCCTCGACCCCAGGGATAATTTCGATCATTGGAATAAGAGGTCACGTAGCACCACATTAAGCACTCAACGCGCAGTCGAATATTGGAATATTGCTGCAATGTAAGGAAATGAGTCACAAGGGACGACCAATTCTCCACGGACGCGAGATTGACGCAAGCTTCTTAATGAAACTTTGGGTCGAAGCTGCATCGCACGAATATCAAAGACGATCATTTTGATAGAGCGTCTCACGATTTTTCAACCGGAAGTCTATAGAGTGGTATACATCGATGGCCAAAGTGCGTAATCACGTATCTCCGTTTGTGACGTTTTAGGTTCCCTGTTAAAGCATATTTTTTCTGGGAAAAGTAGTTAACGTAATTTCTTGAAAACTTCTCTGATTTTTCCTCTACGTTAGCAGAATATTCCGTATGAATTCGAGGCTTTACAGATGACTGTTCCTCTTCCAAAACACAAAATAAGAACGAAAATTTTGAATCATTTGAAGATACGTGGTTTCACACTTTAGTCATCGACATAAATGTTAACAGAAAAAATTTCCTCGACTCGTAACGCGTACGATTTCGGAGGTTTTTTTTTTTTTTTAAAAATTTGTTCCCCCTTTTTTTATTATAGTTGGCCGACTTACAATAATGTTTATTTCCTGAAAAGGCGAAATTTGGACCGGACGTAGGGTACCCTTTTTTTACCAAGCATTTCCATCAGCGCAGATCATCTCAATGTCCATTCACTCATTTTACTACCCCGCCTTTTTCAATAAAGACATCATGAAATGGATTGCGATATGATTCCTTCGGCGATGTAATGATTTTATGGTTTAGGGTTTGCCAAAACTTAGTATAGTTACCATGCCACTTCTGCATTTAAGCCCGAGTTCTCGTAGAAACAAAACTATACAGGGTTATTCAAAAGTCATGCACCACTGGCCATAACTGTAGTTCTAATTTAGATATCGATATGCGGTTTGTGACGTTTTTCCTCAGATCGAAAGGGAAACTTGTTTAGGTACTTTCCAGTTTTTGAGCCCCTCAGAGGGAGAAGGGCGGGGTGCAACTCAAAAATTTCAAATGGCCACCCCCCTCATGGCTAGTGGTGCGTGACTTTTGAATAACCCTGTATGTACGTGAAATCAAGCGCTTTCTTAATAAATCAGTGGACGAATTTCAGGCAGAATCCGTTATGTTAATCAACAGTGGTGAAGCATGAATGATCGATTATCGACCTTTCCCTATTTGAAGCCGTGGTAAAGAATCGATTATTAGGGTGTCTGTTGAGAACACCCTTTTTATCGATACTTTACATAGTTTTAAATACTAGACCAATCGATACATCGCACAGCACACCACACCGCTGGTAATTATTCCTGGGCGGAAGAGAAGCAAGGTGGTGCCGGAAACTTGCCGAGGCAAGAGCTCGTGAGCCTCGTTGACAAATCGCCAAAATTAATCGTCGAACTTCCCGCCGATGAAAATAAACATGAAAATTCATGAATAATTGAGATCAAGGCGTCGCAACCACGTCTGGAAGCGTGAATTAAAAATAATGATTCCATCGGAAGTCTTTCCACGGTTGCTCGGTTAACCTTGTTGAAAACCTTTGCCAAATGCTCGCCTCGGTGGATGAATTCCCAGGTTATGTCTCTAATTAGACGCGTAGGCTCTGTTTTTACATAACCATTTGGATGAAGGGGCATCGTACTCATCATCACTTATTTGCAGGTTAGTGTGCGATATTTGCATTCGTTTGAGCGGTTTTGCAATATCTAGCCCTACCCTAATTGAGAGAGAGTATTTTTAGGTTGCCGGCCAGGTTGACCTAGTGGTTAGCGCGTCTGACTCTAGGTCAATAGGTCCCGGGTTCGAATCCCGGTGGTGGCGACAAATTTTCATGGAACTGACGAGTGGATCTGCAGAAACAGATTCCACCCGGCCTTAATCCCTGAAAATTTGAAAGCCTGGAGCATGGATGTGCCCAGATCCTATAGATGTCTAAGGACAATAAATACTGTCTATCGATGGCTGTAGGTTCCAACGGAACATAAGCCAATAAACCAGCAATAAAAAAAAAAAAAAATATTTTTAGGTTATACCATCCTTTTAAAGTGAACGAGTTTCTAGGAACGCATCATTGAAGCGATTATTTGAATATAAATATTTAGGAGATATTAAAAAAAAATATTAAAAAGTACTTGCGAGGTATTTATAAGATACTAAATGAATATAGAATTATAGAGGTTAGACTTTTGATGGTAATACTGACTAATCAATCGTTTAAAAAAGCGTTTGACAAATACTCATTAAATATGAACTCCATAACGCCGTTATAAATAAAATTCACCCTTCTGAATGATGACCCAACATTAAATCAAATGAATTAAAAAATGTGCGCAAATGACCTGATATTGCCTGAATAGTTCTGTGTGGATTGAGAAGCAAACACAACAGTCGCATTTTTATAAATCAATCGGCGATTGGTCGTTACTGCTATTCACAAATTATGATAAAATTGATAAAAAGAAATCGACTTACCGAGAACTTCAACGGTGTGCGTTTGGACCTTGTTTTCAATATCACTGATTTGACAAACATAATCCCCTGCGTCTTGGGGCATTATAGCACTAATTTCCAGGTTAAGGCCGTCGACTAGCCGAAACCTGGAATCCCGGGTCACCATAATATTTTTCGCCGTCAAAACTGAGTTGCCTCGCCTCCATAGTACAACCAAATTGCCTGAAACATAGTAATAATCGAATTTAGTATTTAAATGTTTAAAATATTTAACGATTTGCGAGAAAAAACAAATTGCATGTAGCCAATTTGCAAAGGAAAGTCAAGTTCATGTTGAAACAAAATCATTCGGGTGGGTACTTTCAGTACACCTCGGCACTTCTGTCCGAAAAATTAATGGTCTACTTAATTGAAGTTGTTTCAATTTTGACTCTTTGCAATAGAAGGTTTTAATTGAGGACCGAACAAATTACCCAATTTCTGTAATTATTCTCAAATGTACGTAGAAAAAGTAATATTTGCTAATACGATGCTTATAGTGGATTCTGGGCCCAACTGCTTTTAAAATCATTTTCGTTGTTACGATGTTATTTGAAGGCTAGCAAACAGTTCGGTACCAATGACATGCAGCAGTTTTATACAAGGACCGAAATTTGTGTTACTACAAAAATATCAATGAACCTACATCCTGTAAAATAGGTGGTGCCTGAAACCTACTATGAGCGTTGTGAGAGTGACTATTTGATTTTTAATGCTATTTAATACTTTTTCTTCGTTTTTAGGGAACACAAAGTGATAAATTCATTGCAGCTTTTTTCTTGAATCATTCTTCAAGAGTTTGTAGACTTTAGAGGTCAACTCTACAATTTGCAAAGATTACCGTCCTATTTTTGGGAATAACGATTCGGTCCGCCAGCCTGCAAAGGAGGATTTGTGCGGTGCATGTACAGATGGAAACGAGAAGGTTGCTCTCTTCAAAGATTGATAAAAAAGGATATTCTTCTTTCGGTGAGACACGCGACAGGGCCCCCTTCCCTTCCTGCATTAATGTCCATTTGGACTGAGTTAAGCAGAAAGGAACCAACCCACATTTTGGGAAAAATTGAGTTATGAGTGGTTTCGAACTCAACCACTGCTGTACTATCTATCGCCAAAAATTCAAAGTTTTTGTTGGAGCAAATTTTGCAGAAATTGAATTTGAAGTTTATCTTTTACATTGAGTCTTATGCAGGAGCTAAACTTTACGCCTCTTTTTCTCGGTTCGATCCCGATGTGGCTTGGTTCCTTTCTGTTTAACTCCGTCCATTTAAAGTTGGGTGAACACGTGCTCGGCGATTCGGACAAATTGTGTCAGGACACGCGTCCCTTTTTCCCCCATTCACATATGCGTGGCTTTCAATAAGACGAAACGTATCGAAATTTCATAATATCTTTGATGAAAAGTTTGATCAGTGGCGTCATTCCACCAAAAATTTTTGAAGCGGAGTGATATTTCTCTCATGGAGAAAATTTTATAAAAAAAAAATATACATATAAATAAGACGGCACTGATAATATTGTCTCCATAGGATTTCTTTTCGAGATAACCGGAATTCCATCAGGAGAACGGGAGTTTTGATTTGCGTCCAGCCCACGTATAAACTGGGGCTCTCAAACTGGCACTAATTCTTCTATTTCTCAGCCATTTCTGCACGGAATGCCTTGAAAATTTCAAGATCTGATCTGTGATGTATCCCGAACACATCGGTTACCCTCAAAGATCGTCGGCCCGACGATCTTTGAAAGGCAACAGTCAACAGTTCCATCGATGAGCCTCTTTGAGGCCCCTAGTTTGTAGGTGGGCTGGACGCTTTACTCTCGAAAAGGAAGACCACGAAGAAGATACTGGCAGGATATTTTTATACTGCCGTGTTACTGAAGAAAACGGTGACGCTCAAATTTTCAAAATTGAGTTTTCCTCACGGGTCTAATTTATAGATGAACTCACTGATTCAGCTAAAACAGCATAAGTCGTGTTATTTTATTTATTTATTTTTTTTTTTAAAAAAAAAAAAAAAAAAAAACGCGACCTATAAGAAAGCAATAGTTGCGCAAAAATTGACCACTGGCGGATCAAAGTTTTCTATGAAAGTTAAAAGCTGGGAATAAGAAAAGGATCTTCGCACAGGTCTCCGCAATGAATCTTCAACGCGTGAGCTAATGCTTTGTACATACGTACGAACATGTTTATGCTCCTTTTTTAAAATTTCCGTGAAATTCCCGAAAACGGGAAAATTCCCTATGCATACTTTAAAAAAGAATGGATTCAGAGATGGAAGTTAAGGCGGTTCGGCTTTTCCTCGAATTTTACGGCTCGAGAACTCGCGACGTTAAGAGAAGACCTGTATACGACACCCACCTTTCCTGGGAGTTCATGCCCGGAGGTTCAACAAGATATTTCGAGGAGGGGGCGTGGGTGAGCTCTCCCCTGATCGGGCCGATTAAACACAGTTGTTTCACGATAATAAAGGATCTCTATTTGCTACCGTATTTTTAATATACTCCGATATTGAGTGCCATGCGTCTAGAGCAAACAACCCCGCGGCGAGGCGCGCACACCCCGAAAAGGGCCCGACCCACCGGTTTTACGCAATAATGTTCTACAAACTCATAAAGAACTTGGGGGACCTGTTCATTGTTCAAACAGATTATCAAAGAAAAGAGACAAGAGGGAGCCCGAAGTTGAGGCGGCGCGTCACGGAGCTTTGATCAACCGAGTTTAAGTTTCCGATGTTCAGAAATGCGACATGGTGCTCGAAATCCTTCTAATCGCACGGAGAGTCCGGATTTTCACGAGCGATTTGATAGCGACGCCGATGTGTGTTCGAACAATCCCCAAGACTCCCTCCTGAATTGAACGGCGCGCGCTCACCTGCTTTCCGAGCTTGTCAAATGTCGCGGAATTCCTCGAAAGTTTCGTCAAAATATATTTGAAAGTGTGGATTCGATTGAAATCGGGCGGCACTGTTCAATTCCACCGGTATTCACTGGAGGAAAAACACGTTGCTTTGGCAAAAGTCAACGAACGTGAAAAACTCGGGTTTTTCACTCGGTTCCGAGGAGAAAGAAGGGACTCGTCTTCATATAATTTAGGGCGGTGCGGACCTGGAAAAAACCTGCGTTTTTTGTGAAAGAGATCCCTAAGTATGGATGTGATCAAATCATGAGTCTCCATTTTAAAATGGAAAAAAGGGTGTCGAAAAGGAATCCTAAGAGATTTGACTGGGAGGACAGTTAAGAAACAAGCAGTGGATGTAAGATGAGAACTCAACTTTGCGGTGCGATGACAGGTAAAATTTAAATCCTACAGATCCGTTCACAAGTGAACTAGTGGCGAGTAAATGGTGAAAATGCCCAGCTTGAACGGGAGCGAATGCAGAATTCAACCACCAATTATTATCAACTCACAAACATGAAGATCTGAGTGTTGATTCGCCTGATAAAAGGATGATTCTTCCCTGTAAAGTATGATCTCTTTATTTAAAGTTATGAAGAATGTAGCGAGCAACTTCTCGACCTCGGTTGCGTTTGAAAATGGAAAGGTCCTGAAAACGGGCTTTAAACACTGGAAAACTGACCTACGTTAGCGTAAGAAGTGCTAATATTTCAAAATGTAGAGGTTAAAAGCTCTGTGTACTTAACTGTCGACACCGTTGTGAGAATCCACTTTTTTATTTTCGTGAAATTGTGGCAATTTCTACTTGCTTACATAAAAAAAGGCGTAACGTTTAATATCCAAAATGGATTTCTTTTTGATGGGGTGGCTAACTTTTAAAAAAGGAAAGTTAAAATTCTTTGCTCATTCAGAAATGATGTCCTGATGATGACTCCGATCGATGCGAGGAAGATCGACCCGGCAAATGATCACTTTTTCCATCAGATTCCATTTATATGCGATTGGCTAATACTCATACACAAGATTTTCTACTTGTAATTACATTCATGAATCATATGTTACTGTTAGTTACGCTATGTTCTTGTTAGTCATCTGATTTTTAATTCTTAAAAAAGGTTGGTTCTTAAATTTATCTAAAGGTGCTTGTATTGAAATATTATAAGAATTTAGTTTTTTAAATTAATTTTTACTCATATATACGTGGTTATTTGTTTCATCATGAAAAATCAAAGCTGCATGACTCTGCAGCTACAGGTATCTTTGACACCTGTTGCCGAAACTTTCTGTCTATTCATATTGTTCAAAAAATGATTCAAGGCTATTCATCTTTGATCTGTTACATCGAGGATGAAAATAATATCCTACAATCACGACAAAAGTCACTTCCCGGAAACGTTATCGACACATCCAAATATCTGAGCATTGAATGCCCTCACTCGCTTCCGTCTCGCCGCACTTCCACTGACATCTCATATTTCCTTCGCAAACATAGGAGTGGAGCCTTTGAGAGACCCCAGACCACGTGCTCAAACACAGCTGCCAATTTTCACGGAAAATTTCCCTCTTGTATAAGATAGTAGCGATTTTTTGAAAATAAAATTGATTTTTGATAAGGCTTATCGTTATTCGAGATCTTCTTCACTCCTTTTGAAGAGGCTTTGGTATAGAAAAAATATTCCTTTACAGTTCGCAATGTAGTAAGATACGAACTGCCTCTGACAGCGAAAATTGGGGTATTTCCCTGAGAAACGGCAACGTTGCTCAAAGGCACATCGGAAAAGGCAGCGACGCGCCGTATAAAGTGTCTTTTATTATCGAGGAAGTCGTTGTTGGGGGTGCAGCGTATAAATATCGCATAAAAACCCGCGGACCGCGCGGAGGAAAAAGTCTGTAGGAAGTTTTAAGAACCATATAAACATGCGCCAACCATATGTAAATCCAAAACAGGAAATTTTTAAAACTAAACTCGGTCGAAGCAATGGATTTTGATGGTCATAAAGGGTATAAATTTGGCCTCGGAAACAGAGCGGTTTCCGGTTGCAGACCTCTCGACCCTCCCGACCCCCTCCCTCGTGCCTCACCCCCTACGATGAAGTTCGGCGATAGTCAACGGACGAGGGATGTACATTTTATTCTTTGCACTGCGCGAGCTAACTCTAGTGCATGCATGCCTGAACATTCCTCCGTTGGGGGAACTACTGTGCGTACCCTCGAGTACGAATTGTGCGAATTTATACAGCGTTGTTGAGATGATCTCTAACTGCGTAGGACTAAGTTGAGAATTTAA